AGGAATTCTGGGAGTTGAAGTCCACGAGTCATGAAGTGGCCAAAGTTTCCCTCATGCTGGCTGAGGAATTCTGGGAGTTGAAGTCCACGAGTCATGAGGGGGCCATAGTTTCCCTCATACTGGCTGAGGAATTCTGGGAGTTGAAGTCCACGAGTCATGAAGGGGCCATAGTTTCCCTCATGCTGGCTCAGGAATTCTGGGAGTTAAAGTCCACCAGTCATGAAGGGGCCATAGTTTCCCTCATGCTGGCTCAGGAATTCTGGGAGTTGAAGTCCACGAGTCATAAAAGAGCCAAAGTTGCCTACCCCTGATTTAGAGGGACACTTAAGAGCAAACTGAGCATGTGCTGGCTGGGGAATTCTGGGAGTTGAAGTCCACCCATCTTCCAGTTGCTAAGGTCGAGAAACATAAATTTCGGATAGGATAGGATAGGATAGGACTATAGAATAACTTTATTGTCACTTTAAATGTACATTAATCAGCATATATTACAATGAGTTTTGCTTGCATACAGCTCTCAAAAGGTAACCACCTCCAGTATACACTGCATAAACATGACAAAAAATAAAATAAATTATGCACATACTCATATGCACACACGTGTGTTTTTAGAGGGATGCTTAAGAGCGAACAGAGCATGTGCTGGCTGGGGAATTCTGGGAGTTGAAGTCCCCCCAGCTTAGAGTCGTCAAGGTTGAGAAACTCTGACCAGATGCAGAAAACTAGAGACCCTTCGGAGTCAACTGGGGGTCATCCAGACGTATGCGGCTCAGTGGCCACCTGGATGGTCCACAAACCCATTGTTATTCACAGCAGTGGAAAAATAAAAATTGGCAAAGAAAAATTTATGGGCACTTCTGCTTGGAAATAAACCAGCAAACCTCTTCTCCCTCCCACAATCTCTGGGGTCCTTTAGCCCACCACCCCCCAACCTGGCAGGTAAACTTCTTCTTAAAACGTTTTTAAGAAGGGATTGGGCCACTGTTTGTCTGAAACGGTCTAGGCAAGGTCTCCTGTCTGAGCAGGGGGTTGGGCTAGATGACCTCCAAGGCCCCTTCCCATTCTCGCTTTTTACCTCGGCGCCCCAGATTTGGACGAGTGTTCCACGAAGCAGCACAACTGTCAGTTCCTCTGCGTGAATATCATTGGGGGGTTCAACTGCAAGTGCCCCCCAGGATTTACCCAGCACCATTCTTCCTGCATCGGTGAGTTATCCGTTCCGGGTTTTTTAAGGGGCCGGTTCCCAAAAACACAGAATCGGGGGGGGGGGGGGGTTGTTCCATGGGAGGTGTTTGGACCTTAAGCCAGGATTTTTTTAAAAAAAAAATCAGCTGGGATGGTTTGTGAGTACAGCATTTGGTGAGAAACCCCGAATGCTCCGAGTTCGAGGTTTTTACCGCCGTCCGTTTAATTTTGCGAAAGTTATTTTAAAAAACGGTGCGTATTTTTTTTTTCTCCTTCCTAAGAAGAGAAAAAAGTCTGCTGTCAATTACTGGGCAATTACAGATGATCCTTGACGTAGAACCGTTTGCTTAGTGACCGTTCAAAGTTACAACGGCATTAAAAAAGAAGTGACTTACGGTCTCTCCTCACACTTACGACCGTTTCAGACCGTCCGTTCACGGGGTCACACGATCCCATGATCTAAATTCGGGTGCGGGGCAATGGATGTGTAATTTGAGATTGGTTGCAACGTCCTGGGGGGAGGGGGGGGGAAATCACATGATCCACATTTGCGACCGTCCCAGCTTCTGACAAGCAACGTCGGTGGGGAAAGCCGGATTCATTTAGTGACTGTGTGATTCACTAAACAACAGGAGTGACTTGCTTGACAACCCCAGTAAAACAAGTCGTAGAATCCGATGCAATTCTTGTCCCAGTTGTTGTCGTAAGTGGAGGACCACCTGTATTGTGACTGCAGGACCCCTCGGCTGCAAAAGAGGGTCCTCCCTATGGTTGAAGCTACCCTCCGGTCTTTAGTGCCGGGTGTGAATTCAGCCGCAACGTTTATTTAGTCATCCAATGTTTTACACCGCCCATCTCAGCTAAGTGACTCTGGGCAAGTTTACAACAAGTTTACAACACGGTCCCCACCTTTCCCCCCCCCCAAAAAAGCAGGCGGCCTAGGAAAGCGCTTGTTTGGAAAATAGGTCTCTCTAGCAAGCGAGCCAAGCCGCAAACTGCGCAGAGACGTCTTCCACCATGCAGTCGGTTCCGTGCCTGCCGGGCATTTGTGTGTGCCTTCTCCGTAGAATCGCTCGTTTCCTTTCCTTTTCGATTCCCCTCCCTAGACAACAACGAGTGCAGCGCTCAGCCCACCCTTTGCGGGTCCAAAGGACAATGTCTGAACACCCCCGGCAGTTACAACTGCGAGTGTCAGAAGGGATTCATTCTGGATAACTCCGGAAGCAGTTGCGAAGGTGGGTGTCCGATCCGCGCCCATTTTTCTGTGTGTGTATGTGTGTGTGTGTGTGTGTGAAGGGGGTAGGGTGGAACGCGGGTGTCCGGGATCGTAGTTTTACAAGATGCATCGTTATATATGTACAGTACATCTAACAACATGTATATAGTTTGTATAGAGCCCAAATCACGTGAAGTCTTAGTACCGCTTTGTAAAGCCTTAGTAAGGCCACACCTGGAATACTGCAGCCAGTTTTGGTCACCATATCACAAAAAAGGATGTTGAGGCTTTGGAAAAAGTGCAGAGAAGAGCAACTAAGAGGATCAAAGGCCCGGAGACTAAAACCTACGAAGAACAATTGCAGGATTTGGGAAAAGGACCAGGGGGGACATGATAGCAGCCTTCCAGTATTTGAGGGGCTGCCCCAAAGAAGAGGAGTGGGTCCACCCAGTGGTGGGATTCAGCCAATTTGCACCACTTCGGAAGAACCGGTAGCCCATTTCTTGTTGCCCAGGCCCGGAATGGACTGCCGGAAGTGGCATCCACACAGAGAACCGGTTGTTCACCTATTTCAGGGGTAGGCAACCTTGGCTCTTTTATGACTCGTGGACTTCAACTCCCAGAATTCCTGAGCCAGCACAGCTGGCTCAGGAATTCTGGGAGTTGAAGTCCACGAGTCATAAAAGAGCCAAGGTTGCCTACCCCTGACCTATTTGAATCCCACCACTGGGTCCACCTCTTCTCCAAAGCACCAGAGTGCAGGACGAGAAACAATGGTGGGAAACTGACCAAAGAGAGAAGCAACCTGGAATGAAGGAGAAACTTCCTGACAGGGAGGACAATTAGCCAGTGGAACTCCTTGCCTCCAGAAATCGTGGGCGCTCCATCACTGGAGGTTTTTAAGAAGAGACTGCACAGTCACTTGTCTCAAATGGTATAAGGGTCTCCTGCTTGAGTGGGGGGCTGGAGACTTATATGAAGAACGGTTGCAAAAATTGGGTATGGCCAGTCTAGAGAAAAGAAGGACTAAGGGGGACATGATAGCAGAATTCCAGTGTTTGAGGGGCTGCCCCAAAGAAGAGGGAGTCAAGCTCTTCTCCAAAGCGCCTGAAGGCAGGACAAGAAGCAACGGATGGAAACTGACCAAGGAGAGAAGCAACCTAGAACTAAGGAGAAACTTCCTGACAGCGAGGACAATTAACCAGTGGAACAGCTCGCCACCAGAAGTTGTGAGTGCTCCATCACTGGAGGGTTTTTAAGAAGAGACTGGACAAGCATTTGTCTGAAACGGTCTAGGGTTTCCTGCCTGAGCAGGGGGTTGGACTAGATGACCTTTAAGGTCCCTTCCAGCCTTGGAGGTCATCTAGTCCAACCCCCTGCTGGGTAGACAACCTATTGCAAATAATGGCAAGGTATTTGTGGCATAGAACAAACGCAACAGCGATGGGCTCCCGTGTCTTTTGCACAGACGTGGACGAGTGCGACGGGAATCACCGGTGTCAGCATGGCTGTCAGAACGTGCTCGGGGGATACCGCTGCGGCTGCCCCCACGGCTACGTCCAGCACTACCAGTGGAACCAGTGCGTGGGTGAGTGGATCCACGGGGCCCCTGGGCAGGATGGGCCTGGTCAGACTTGCAACCTGGGTTTTGTAGTACTGTTGCGCTGGCCAAATTTCAATGATTTCCTTGTCTCGGTTTCCTCACTGGGGTCCAGCAGCATGGGTCTTGTAAGACTTGCAACAGGGGGGTTTGTAGTACTGTTGCGCTGGCTAATTTCAACAGTCTTCCTGGTCTCGGTTTCCTCATTGGGATCTAGCAGCATGGGCCTTGTCATACTTGCATCATGGGTTTTGTAGTACTGTCGCCCTGGCTAAATTCAACCATCTTCCTTGTCTCATTTGCCTCACTGAGGTCCAGCAGCATGGGCCTTGTCATATTGGCAACATGGGTTTTGTAGTACTGTCGCGCTGGCTAAATTCAACCATCTTCCTTGTCTCGTTTGCCTCACTGGGGTCCAGCAGCATAGGCCTTGTCATACTTGCAACATAGGTTTTGTAGTACTGTTGCACTGGACAATTTCAATGATTTCCTTGTCTCGGTTTCCTCATTGGGGTCCAGCAGCATGGGTCTTGTAAGACTTGCAACATGGGTTTTGTAGTACTGTCACGCTGGCTAAATTCAACAATCTTCCTTGTCTCGTTTGCCTCACTGAGGTCCAGCAGCATGGGCCTTGTCATATTGGCAACATAGGTTTTGTAGTACTGTCGCGCTGGCTAAATTCAACCATCTTCCTTATCTCGTTTGCCTCACTGGGGTCCAGCAGCATGGGCCTTGTCATACTTGCAACATGGGGTTTGTAGTACCGTTGCACTGGCTAATTTCAACCGTCTTCCTTGTGTCGTTTGCCTCACTGGGGTCCAGCAGCATGGGCCTAGTAAGACTTGAAACGTGGGTTTTGTAGTACTGTTGCACTGGCTAAATTGAACAATCCTCCTTGTCTGGGTTGCCTCTTTGGGGTCCAAGGCGCGAACCTAGAAGCCGTATTTGGCCACCAGGTTGTCATTCCCATCATCCCCAGCCATGGTTAGAGCATGATCTACACACCTGGCTACACAGGGGGGAGCAGAGGGGTGAGCCATGGGGCAGCAAGGCTAGGAAACCCCCAAATTTCTCTTCCAAAATCCCTCTGGGTCTCCCCCCCCACCCCCATTTCCATCTCTGCTTTGGGGTGGGCGTTGCGTGTCCTACCGTCCCCAACCTCCAAATTCAATTTTTTTTAAAAAAAATGATAAAATGTACAGGGGGTCCTCATCTTCTGACTGCCCCCTTAGTGACCGATCAAATTTCTGACGGCCCCGCTCCTCCCTGCACTCCTGGGATCTGCACTGATGACAGTTTGCAGTCATAAACCATGATTTGTTTCCATGGTTTTTTGTTGGTTTTTTTTGCCAGAATCTGGTTTTTTTTTATTCCCGGCTCCTGGCAGCAAAACAAAACAACACAAAACAAAACAAATCCAGCCCTTGGCTGCTCCCTTAATAACTGCCGTGTTCGCTTAACGGCCCTTGCAAAAATGGTTGTAAAATCAGGCCACGGTCACACGGCACGTAAGGACGGCCACGACTGTAATCCCAGGCTTAGTTTTGGTCACAAGCAAACACTGTTTTTAAAGGTTCAAATCCAAGGTTCATCACAGAGCAGTTTTAGCCCTCCGTGACGCAACCAGCCGGCCACTTAAAATCAAAGATAGCCGGGAGGAAAACGCTTCACCATAGGACCCAGCGGCGCCCCCGTTGCTGGTTGATTTGAGAAGGGAGAAGCCCCTCCAAGGGAAAGAGGGGTCCCCACCCACAGCCCTGCAGAGAGATGCCGAACGTGTGCAGGGAAACTCGAGCATCTGCAGGGCAGTCAGGAAAGTCATGTGTGTGTGTTAAATTTGGATTGCCAACAAAGAGTTAAAGGGAGACTAGTATGGCTATTTCGAGCTATTTGGCTCTTATCAGCCCGTCACACCCTTCTGAGATTGGAACCTGGGCTGCTTGCACGTTAGGCAGCTGTATTAACCTCTAGGCCACAGGCTCTCTCTCTCTCACTTTGTCAGCTGTGTCAGGGAGGGAAGAGACTCGGGGAGAAGATATATAATACAGCTGCCTAACGTGCAAGCAGCCCAGGTTCCAATCTCAGTATGACTGGCTGATGAGAGCTAAGTAGCTTGACATAGTTGTACTAGTCTCCCTTTAACTCTTTGCTGGCAATCCAAATTTCACACAAAAATGGTTGTCGCAGTAGCGACTGCTGCCTAGGATATATCTCCTACTACTACTACTACTACTCCCACTTCTCCTCCTCCTCTTCCTCCTCTTCCTCCCACTCCTCCTCCTCCTCTCCTTAAACGCACTCCCTTCTAAAACGGATAATTTTACCTAGTTGGGTAATGAAATGTCTGCAAGAAAACTCACCGAGCTCTCCTCCTCCTTCTCTTCCTCTTCCTCTTCCTCCTCCTCCTCCTCCTCCCCCTCCTCCTCCTCCTTAAACCCACTCCCTTCTAATACTGGTAATGTTACCTAGTTGAGTATTAAAACAAAGCTCAGAGAGTATCAAGGACCCTTCGCAAATAAACCAGGGTTGGTCCGTAGCACTTTAAGGGCAGTCGGGGAACCCCAGCTGAGCCCCGGTAAGTAGCCCCCCTCCCCCTTTTTCTTCCTACCCCAGATGAGAACGAGTGCTCGGGCTCCGCGGTCTGCGGTTCGGCCTCCTGCTACAACACGCTGGGGAGCTTCAAGTGCGTCTGCCCGTCTGGCTTCGACTTCGACCAGGCCCTGGGGGGCTGCCAGGACGTGAACGAGTGCGCCGCCGGAGGGAGCCCCTGCAGCTACGGATGCTCCAACACCGAGGGGGGCTACCTGTGTGGCTGCCCCACCGGCTACTTCCGGGCAGGGCAAGGGTAAGGGTCTCCCTTTCTGCCCCACTGCGTTTCCGTATGGCAGCTGTGAGAGAGCGGGCTGCTGGTGACTACGCGGGGATTCTAGGCTGATCCCTCGTTTAACTCCACCTCCAGTTTCTGCCGCTCTTTCTCCACCACGACCACCAGTTCCACTCAAGCTCCCCACCCCTGATTCAGGTCTTTATACTCCCCCCTCCCCCAGGCACTGTGTCTCAGGACTTGGGTTCGCCAAGGAAAGCTATTTCTCGGCCCCCCCGGAAGAGGACGAGGAGAATCTGCTGTCTCCGGAAGCCTGCTACGAGTGCAAGATCAACGGATACCCCAAGAGAGGCCGCCAGCGGCGCAGCGTGAACGGCACCCAGGCCCACCAGGTAGAAAAAATGGGGAGGCTTTCAAAAGGTCCCCCCCAACCTTAGGAGTGCCGCATTTACTGGTGTCTTGGTCAATTATTATTGTGTTTTATTTTCTCTCCAGCTGTTCTACGATGTTGCTCACATAATCAGGGTACCCGTGCGGAGGGACAAAAAACGCAGGGTGGCAGTGAATGAAACCCCCTCCCCTTTTTTACCTGCATACACAACATCTATAAAAACAGGGCAGGGCTTTGATCGCAGGGTAGCGACCACCATTTTGATCTGTTTTGGCCTCCCCTGTAACTGCTACTGAACCTGTATTCCTCCATTCGGTTAATTTAATTCTTGTTCCTCTTTCTTGGCTGGAATGGGATGGGATGGGATGGAATAGGATAGGATAATAATAATAGAATAGAATAGAATAGAATAGAATAGAATAGAATAGAATAGAATAGAATAGAATAGAATAGAATAGAATAGAATGTACAGGTATAGTATAGGGGGTACCTTGCTCAATAGTAGTAACTGTGAGAGGGA